GAAGAAAAAAAAAAAAAAAAAAGGACAGGCCGTCGTTAGGGCGCAAGGAATCTATTCAAGGCCGCGTTTATCTCTAATTTCGCCTAGTCCACACGAGCCAGCCGAATACGATGCATGCTTAGCGTACGCGATGCAATCAATGGGGAGTCCAATTGCACTCGCGTGACTTATTATATATGGTTTCGGTACACTGCTATAGGACCGCGTAAATCAGTGCCTCGACGCTGTCTGGTGTAATTGTTCACATGGTTTGTAAAAACAAAAAATAAAAAAGGGGGTCTTTATTACATTGGAGTCACGAGTGACGACTGACGAGTCCCCAAGTCTCGCGAGTGTTGGCGAAATGTCAGATTGACATAACGTTCTTCTGATTCGCACATTTCCGCGCAACTGGGTGAACTTATGTTTCCGCGTGTTTCAAATCGCTCGGCAATTTACAACGGGGATAAAATTACGTGTTATCTTTTGCGCTTTAAAGGTGCGGCGCTCTAAAGGTGCGGCCTCACTGATCGTACAACATACAGTGTGCAGAGAAGTGTGTGACGCGTGTTTCTCTTCCGGCCCCGTCACACTGGTCTTACAAAATCTGCCTGCCGACATGTAAGAAGCGTGCATGTGTGCAAATCAAACATGCGTCGGACATGCGTGAGGCATTTCCCCAGATAATTTGCCATCGTGTCCGCATTGAACACCGCGTTTGTGTGTGTGTTGTATAATTTCAGAAGCGAACGAAAATTTAAAAAAATTTTGTTTTAATTGTTTTTTTTTTTGTAGAAATATCCATGGAAAGACAGACTGCGATGTGACGCTGAGCATCGTCAAACGACATGGTCAGTGTCATATCGTAGACTGTTTTCTTTTATATGTACATATTTCTTTTATATCTCAACGCAGCCTATCCTTTTGCCGAGCTCCTTTTGTAGATTACAGCGATTGGCTATGATAAGTGCTTTGCTGGAAAGTAGACACTCAGGACTTCTTAGAGAGTATATCAATATCTCTCGTACAACCGGTCTCTGTCTGGGTCTCTCTGCAAGACATTGCCCATTTTTTAGGGTTATCTTCCTTTCCTGAGCAGATTATATCTGGGCTCTCATTAAACTCGCTTATAAAACACGGAGAGTCATCCATCGTAAAAGACAATTCGTCGTAATAATGTTGAAAAAAAAAAAAAAAACGAAAATAAATTTTAGCTTTCTATAGACATCGTGGACAGGTCATGGTATAGTACATCTATTTTTATATAGATATATTACTTATATATCAATACATATAGATTTATATTTGTTACCGCGATATATAGACTGCTTCGGACGGTATACGCGTCTTCCGGCGAGCCATCCCGGCGCCTATTTGTCTTCATTGACCCGCGTGACACTCGACGGAGCGTGGACGAGAGCGAAAGCGGAGCAGCCGGACATTCGATTGGAAGAGGGCGAGGGCGCTTCAAGCGGGAAGAGTGCTCGCTTATAAGCGGCACGCGCCGCGTCGCGTCTACAGCGTGGGCTGCAGCCTGCCCTAATTGCAGGCAGAAAGCCGCGTTGGCGCGCGCGCGCGCGATCAAGACCGATAAAGTTGCTTTGCAATTGAGTGCTTGCCTGATTGAGTGGCGAACACGCTCGGACCGTTCGAACGCGAAGAAAGGGAGAGGCCGGCAACGACCAATACCAGCTAGAAGACAAGGCCTGAACCTCTCTCCCGCAAACGTCATCACTAGTAGGTCCACGCCTAGTTCGAGGGAGCATCGCCGCCAGCTTGTCTTGCAGCGTCCCCGCCACGCTAGCAGGCGGTGACGGCGAGACGGACACGTCTACCGCTTTGCGGTGTCGAGCTCCAGCGTGTTCGCCCCTTGGGGCGCGGGGCCGGAGTCCACTAACGATGACGTCACGCGCAGGCCTTGTTTCTTCTGGGTAGTATTGCAACAACGCGCACCGTGAACGAGTCGCGGAGAATTCGTTTGCTCGGCGTGTACCTATCTCTCTACGACCGTTTTGCGTCGGATGAGTGGCTGCCGCCTTTGTTTGGACACGACTGTGAGCGTTCTGGCGTGGTGCGTCGAGTATACTATTGGTTCGTGTGTGTGTGTGCGCGTGTGTGTGTGTGTGTGTGTTTGTGTGTGTGTGAGCGTGTATGTGTGTGTGTGTTTAGTTTTTGTTTTAAGTTGTCAGCTGAAAAAAAGAAAAGAAAAAGAAGCGGTGCGTGAAGGAATAGCAAATATTGGGTTTCTCTTTCGAGATGTGTTCGGGTCCTGCAGCACGCAACGCGCGCCTGTGTTGAACAGTCGAGATGCGTTGGCTGATGTGATCTCCGTTCGGCTGTGTTTGTCCGAGAGAAAGCTGGACTGGATCGAAGCAATACGCCAACGATGGTTTCAAGAATGCATTGTGTTCGCTGTTCGAGCGTGTACAGATGACAGACGGTGGAAGCAATCGCAGAGCGATTGTTTTCTTGTCGTTTGTTTGATTTTTGCCCGGTAATCGGAAATGTTTCGCGCTGTTGTGTGACGTGAGCTGTGTGAGTCAGTTTTCCTCAGGCTGCTCTATAATCTTCCAGCTTACATCACTAATATAGCCTGTGGAAAATCAGAACTAAACAGGAATAGGCATGAACAGTTGCCGTCGGCTACTATCACTCACCTGGTTGACTACTCGAGGCTGAAGTAATCGAATATTAGTGGCAGAAGAGATCGCAAACAGACTTTTCTTTAAAGAGCTCTGTCTGGTACAATCATCGGTGGGAGGGATTGAAGGATGTTTATTCATTTTATTTGTTTATTTATTGCAAACTGTCGACTAATAGTTCTCAGGGTCTCGTCAACACACATCACGTTTTGTCTATGAAAGGCGTGGTGTGCTATAGCAGCGAGATAAGCCTCGTTCGCCATTGTTTAGGCTCTCTAATGAAGGTGAGGGAGCTCGCTCGCCCGTCTCTTTACTTCCTCCATTACTTAGTTAAGAGTCGAGCGCCCCGTATCGACGCCAACTAGGCTTCACATTCAATCTTCCCGCGGACGGTACGAACAGGTCGATTTGTAGACCGCGCTTGGCAGCCGCAACGCGCAGAGTGCTTTAAAACTTAAAAGCACTCCCCCATGACAAGTGCAGCGTTCTTTCGATTCGGACATCGCCCCCGTCCCGTTCCTCCCTCCTTCTCCCCCGTGTCGGCTCCCTCGATCCCGACGCCGATACCCGCACGCAGAAGAAGACTCGTGTCGTGCCTCCTATCAATCGTTCCGGCGACGGCCGCGTGACGTCGCGGCAAATGCATGTGGGGAACGTGAACGCGGTCGTCGTTGCCTCCTTTGAGGGTCCTCTCCCGTCCAGATCCGCCCTTGTTCAATACTACCAAGACGACAAGGCCTACGAATGACGTCATCGTTAGTGGATCCGCGACTGGCCCCGAAGTGCCACAGACGGCTCGACAAGATTAGGCCGCGAAGCGGCATGCGCGTGGCGTCGCCGCTCGCTAGCGTCACGCTTATTGTGAGAAGTTGCGAGACGCGCAGGGTGGCGACGACGTTGACGCGAGCTAGGTGGCGCTGCGTAGAGCCACTAGTGATGATGCTTGGGAGGGCAGAGGCGCAGGCCTTGTTCTTGTCCGTCTTTTTCCTTGCCTTGTCCGTCTTTTCCGGTCCGGTGCGTGACGTTTGAAAACGAAACACGTCGGCGGATTATGTTTGCAAGCGCTCTCGTGATTCCATCTTTTGCTTGTGCGTGTATTTTTGTCTCGTTACAAACGTGCGCGGACGGTCGTGCGGTATGAGCGTGTCGTACACGCCGGAAGCACCCGAAACGGCTACCGGGTCGCCTCGAATTTTTCAGTGCTTTCAGCGTGCCTCAGCCAACGCTCTTCTTTCTTTTCACTGTCTCCCTCCTCTCTCTCACTCTCTTAAAAAAAGGGGGAGAGAGAAGGTGATTACATTACCTGTGCATGTGGGACCCTGGCGAATCGGACTGCGCGTTTCTTCGACTATTCTGTCAACTTTGTAAAGACGGTGGCGGTGTGTATAATTTACGCATTTCTTTTTTTTTTATTCTTTTTTTTTCTTTTCGTCCTAACGCGTTATTTCACAGGCTCCTCTTTTTACAGTGTCTTAACGCCACTGCAGTGTCGTTTCTAACGATCTTTTCTTTTCTTTTTTCAACTTCCGACTTCCTCGTTGGAGTGTCTTCCAAAACGTGCGTTTTGAGGGAATATATACATATATATATTTTTCTTTTGTCAGTTTGTCTGAATTTTGCGGTGAAGGTGTTGTTTTCTACGCGGACGTAATTTTGTTTTTCGCCGTCTTTGCGGAGTATAGGGGGGGGGGGGGGGGGGGGGGGAGGGGGGATGCTTTCTAAACGACTCACGAAATACATTGGTCGCAAACGTGATTCGCATTTTGTCCAGCTCCTTCGTCAGTTCTGAAGACGGAACTTGAGTTACGGGGGTACGCAGTTATTGGAAATTTCCACATGTGCTCGACATTGTGCGTTGCCTCGCCACTCCCGTCCCTGTCTGCTTTTGTTGTTGTTTTCCTACCGGTTAATAGAATTTTTTTTTAGAGTGAGTTTCCGTTCTTTCTGTTGGTGTCAGATGTCGCTGCTCACAGCCTTTCGCAACTGCCATGAAATTGGGCGGTGAGAAGAGACACCTATTGCGTGTTCCCTTCACACGTCAACAGCTACAGCGCGCAACAACGAGAGGTGGTGTGACAAATGTTGCGCGGTGCAAGCTGGGCCTGTAATTGAAACGAAGCCGAGCTGCGCATCGGGAAATTTCAATTCGTTTCCACCGTTGCGTAGACGGTGGAAACGAATATATATATATATACATATAATAAACATGCACACTCGCTATAGTAAACCGAAATCGAGATAGTGCAGGCGCTGCGACTGGGGCAGTCGCAGCGCCTTTTCTATATCAATTTCGAGGCGAATAGTTGATTATCTGTTAGTAACCACCATAAATTTAGATACCGAAGCCATATTTTTAAAGTCTTAACTTTTCCGTTTCAGGAACGAGCGGTGCATCCCCCTGTACCGGAGTCAGCGCCTTATCGAGGTAAGCCTTGTTTTTAAAAACAATTTTTCGTTGCACTCTATCGACACTTGTCGTTTCCGTGCATGGGGCGAAGCAAAGAAACAAACAAATATTTTGTATATACGCGAACTGTTGTATACACGTATAAATTTGTTACTATGTAGCATTCTCGGTCCGGTCATAATAATGACGCTTTGAGACACAAACGCGGCGGCATTAAAGAGACTCTGGGTGGCCCGCACCTTTGCGCAGAGCAACAACGAAAAGGTTGTTTCCTATTGTCTCGTGTCTGGTCGTGATTCTGTGAGAAAACGGAGCCACGGCGCTCCCAGCGGAGCGGAAAGTGGATCAGACTAGGCACACAATTACAAATCTGAGATTGTATACGGTTGTTTATACTGCGAAAAGTAGTCCATCTAGAGGTGACGACTCGCATCCCGTCGTGTACGTACTAGCATATATAGAAGTGACGCCGTACCTTATCGTAAATTTGCTTCCAGTAATGTACGACAGCTAGACTGGGGTTGTTGACGTCGTGCGTCACGTGGTAGTGAGTCACACCGTTTAGCCAGCAGCAGTATGAGCAAAACGTTTTTGAGCCTGCTTCGTTTCGGCGCGAAGCATGCTGAGTTGTAACCCATTTCTCTAATCAAACGTAAAAAAAAAAAAAAAAAAATAAAGAAACGTACATTCGGATGCTCTTGGAAGTATCACAATATAAATCTTCGATACTCGTAAGAGTATCCGTCGAGGGACTGAGAGAGAGGAGGAAACGAGAGAGCGCGGGCACAGCAGAACTCCGAGCCCTGATTGGAACGATTAGGGGGTAGACCTAAAGCTAGCTTTAGGTCTACCCCCTACTGCCTTTGTCTGCACTGCACTTGTCGAACGCGTTGGAAGGTGGAACGCTGGCGTCAGGCGTTTGACTCTGGCATTCGGATGCGTTCGACGAATGCAGTGGAGACAAAGGCACCTAGCTTGAGGTCTACCCTCTGATCATTCCAATCAGAACTTGGCCGTCTGCCGTGCCCGCGCTCTCTCTTTCCTCCTCTCTCTCTCTCTCAGTTTCTCGGCACACTGGAATTCTAGACTGCGATGCTCTGTAGACCTTTCGGACTACATGGGCTAACGGGACAACCATACGGCCTCGCAGGCTATGGTGCGATAGGTCGCGATATTAATAGATGCGTTTTCACCACCCCCATCTTTCTGACTTATCTCCGTTTCATATTGAAGGGAAGCTCGGTTCAAATGTTCAACCAAAATAAATGACCGATATCGATTTACGGAAGGGTAAATACGAACACCGACAAAATATTTCACTAATGGGTAACCGCGATCCAGCCTAAAACCGATATTAAAATCACTATCACCGGCTTCTCAGCGGGCATACGGCGGGTTGGTTGTCTGTCGGGCAACCTTTTGCCCCAATGTTACGTTCGTACTCGAAAAGGTTGCTTTTGTTTGTACTGCCACCTCTTTCGCCGTGCTTTTCTGCTTCGTTTTCAAGCATCCCAGCGGACGATTTCTGCTTGTTACGTTATGCTGGCCGCCGTCGTTTGCAAGGGCTACTCAGCGACGGTGCACGAAGATTATTGACTCCCTGCTCGCTTAAGCGTGTCGTGGTGCCGAAGTGCAAGGAACCCGAGGGATTGGCATCGTTGTGCAATGCCGAGCACGCCTTGCTGTGCTGCGCGTTGCGCAAGCAACTCGCTGCGCAAGCCGGACGTGCGTTTTCACCAGTTCGCTGATAATTCGAAATTGAGGAACGTGTGTGGGTCAACGCTGTTCGTCAAAGAGATTTCCGAAAGCCGTGGACTCCGAAACCTTCACCGGCTGCCGTAGCTGAGTTCTTTCCTGCCCTGCACGAGGTTACGATAAGCTTGCACGACGTTTCTGAAACGTGCTTTGCACACCACCAAGATTGTAGGTTTTTTTTTTGTTTTTTGTTTGTTTTTTTTTTTCAGAAGAAAAGGGCGAAGGGGAGGGGGGGGTCAGTTCTGAGCCTTCGCTGCAAACACCGCTGTCAATTATGGCGCCCAGTGAATACCACCTATTTATCGCGCGACAATCGGCAGGCAATGTGAATTGATATATGCTATAATGTTTTGATATCTACGAAGCAAAGCAGTGAAATAGCCATAGCATTTTACCTGACTGATCGGAACTGCTCTTGCGACTAGGCCAGGTTAGGGTGCCTCAATGTCCTTCTGTGTAGGGTAATGCCACCCTTTGTAGTACCCGATGCCGACAGCACGCGCTCAGGGGGAAAATAGAAAGAAATCGACGAAAGCAAAACGTCGCTATGTAGGGTGCCTAGATGTCTGTCTGTCTCAGGGTGAAGACATCCATTGTTGTCCGGAATGTGCCAGCGCGTGGCGCTCTCGCGCACTCGGTGCGTGACTTGGGCGGTAAGATGGCGTCTATGCATCAGCCAAAGCTACGCGCTCGAGCTGAGTAACACCGGATTGCGCGCACTTCAAAATGCATAAAAAAACGATTGGGCGGAAAAATGGCTGCGATGTCACCACTCAAGCAAAAGCGCGCGTGTGTATGAAGGCACTCTATCCCTATTCGCGACTCCAGCAAAACGGACGCCGCCAAGCGGGAAAACCGGGAACCAGCCGGTCCAGGTCGCTCCGCGCCCCTCCGCGTCTCTGGTGGCTTTCGCGGAGACGTGTTGTCGGCGCGGTGGCGAACAATGTAATTTGACGAAGGTCCGAATATTTCTTGAGTTTGCCTGACTGATCATTAGTGTGGTGAAGCCTCAGTAGATTGTTTTCTTCTATTACGTGTTTGAAGGCCCGTTTACTCCACAGCACACGGTCGCGTGCTTTCGATTTCTTGGATGGGGAGGAATCACGGAAAACTTTTTGATTTCTTGTCTGTCTCGAATCACATTCAAAGTGACGACTGCTTGGTGACTGATACTGGAGGGAACATCAATGTTGCAGTCAAGTGAATGGGAAGGTTCGATAGCTGCTTTTCTTGAGTTTGGTTGTGTTCGGTTAGCTTCAAGTTTGAGCCACCCACGCCGGTCGGCGCGTTGGCTATTCATCTTGGCTGCTTTTCGCCGAAAAAGTCTCTGGACCACACTGAAGGAGTTGGGCTGATTTCGCATTTACTTGATTCAGGAAAACTTGCTCACTGCAAATGATGAATGAGGGGAATTATCTGTTTTCAAAAGGTGGGAGACAAGTCTCGCAACGTTAGATGCTGTCACGGCATTTTGACCTATCGCGCCTCCAATATTTATATTACGAGGACGTCGAAGCCAGCAGCAATATACGTCTACAGTGGTCAGGTTGACCGGCCACAAAAAAATACTAATTTTCTCCGTTCAATGCAGAGAGGTTCTGCGCGGATCTTCAATGAAGACTCTCTTCAGTTTGTCCCCGTGCTGCCGGCTATAGAACCATTTGGCTAAGGTTAAGTAGTATGTCTCCGTCTGTCAAATATACTTTTATTTAGCAGCTCACCTAATAGCTAGTCAACTAAGCTCATCTTTTAACCCGAAGGATATACTAATATTGCTTTAGTGGGACCCCCCCCCCCCCCCCCCTTCCCCTATTGTACGTAATAAAATGCATAACCCGCTCGTCAAAATGACTTCTCGATTGCTACTAAAACCTGAATTGAAATACGAGCATCAGCTGCTTAGTGGGGCGCCGGCGGGTTAACATGGTCCTTGGCTCAACAAGCGGTTGCTTAATTTGCGTAATTTTCCTGCAGCCTGTGTTGTTGGCCGAGCAGACGACTGGAGCTGTTTCGTAAGGCGGATACGCACAAAAGCTCGATTTCGCGGACAGATAAGTTGCATGGTCGAGGCATGCGAGTTAGCTGAAAAGTTACTCTCTGTGGAATTCTATAATTCAGAATTCTGTAGTCATCGCCGCTTTCCTTAGATGATCAAAACTGATTAGTATATTACCGTCTCTCCGGAGCCCATAGTTTCGGTTTTGAACGAAATCTCCGAAACGAAAGTTTGACACGAAAAGAACAAAAAAACACCGGCAAAACAAAACTATGCTTTGCAAGTTTATCTGCACCGGCTACACTTAACCGTCTCAGTTCAAATACCTATAAAATTGGGCATTAAACAAAAGAAAATCTGTTAAATCGAACGCGCCACCTGTTCAGGCGGCCCGGCCGAGCCGCCGCGACCTGGACTCAGCCGCCATGTTTGTTTGGTGGGGGCGCCCCCTATAGGTCGCTGGAGTCGCGAATAGCACAGTCAGCGCCACAGACCCGTGCTGGGACACGCACCTTCACGCGCTTCTGAACAAAAAAGAAAAATGTGGGACATAATAGAGAGTGGGACATAATAGAGACTCCGATAACGATACCCGATACTTCGCCACCGCCTCCCTTGTGCATGCATAGTATCGTTATCGGGGCTATCGGAGGTATCGGAACGATCTACTAAAACTCTCCAGATGTTTCCACCCACGTTTTGCGGTACCGCGGTACGAGCTTTCCGTCACACGATGGAGCTGATCACCAGGGTTGCCGTCTTGTCGAGCCGATAGTTTCAGCGTCGCCGTAGGCCCCCGAATCCAAAGTTAGAGATACCTCCAAACCCACACGAGGCATATCGAACGCGTGTATACTTCGCATCCGTGCTAAGTACGGGCACTCGTGCTGTTCAACCATCATTCGAGGCAACATTGCTCGCGCGCACGTACTCCCGTGGCCTACAACATTGGCCGGCTTGTAACCGCCCGTTTTCTTTTTTTTTTTTTGTTTTTTTGTTTGTAAAAGACCGGGCGCGGCGTACTATAAACCCGGGAGAAAAGGAGCGCGGAGGGCAGCAACCCGGCTGCTTCCTTCCACGTCGGGGTCGCCGTCAAGTGGAGCGGGCTGTGTGTGGTGGGCGGCTTGCGGAAGGCAGCGTTTTGGAAGCTGCGCTCGTTTCCGTCAAGTGGTCTCGCCTGTTGTGTACAGTTGCCGGTAGCGTTCCGCAGCGCGCAGCGTAATGATAAGATTTGTGCCGTTGCCTAATCCTGCCTTTTATTTCGACC